TGCACAAGATATGAGCTATATTAAATCCGTGGATAAACAGCTTTTACCAATTCTGGGACTATGTGCTCCTAATGCGCATCAGGTGGAGGCACCCCAGAGGAACTTGTCGAGGTCAAACGTTCGACAACACAGGCAAGGATTAGGACTGGAATTCCCAACTATTGCTCCTCCTCCTGAGTTTTCAACTGAAATGGTTGCTAAAGGTTTCCCACAGAGATTTAGATTGCCAGATCTTCCCCTGGACCCTTCACAACAGCCTCCAAAGAATAGCTTACCTGATTCTTATCTCCCGTTCAATCCAGTATGCTGTCTTTCTCCTCTCTCTCTCTCTCTCTCTCTCTGTTATACTCCCTCTGTCCCAATTTATGTGATGTTGTTTGACTTGGCACGAAATTTAAGTAAAGATAGAAAGACTTTTGAAAGTTGGTAGTATAAAACAAGTCACTAAAAAGGAAAATTTGTCACATAAATTGGGACAGAGAGAGTAACATGTTTTCATGCATTTAAAATGTAATGCTTATGTGAATTCCTAATGTTGCCTTCTCTGCAGCATCCTCGACCTGTCATGCGAGAAAGAGGTTCTGCTGGTAACTTACAGAATTCTTGTGCTACTTCATATGATATTCAAGACAGGACAGTTTTGCCCAAACCTTTTGATAAGCCATTGTTACCAAGATACCCATTTCCTGCTATGAACATGCCACGTCCACCCTCTGCCTTGTTTCCCAACTTGTCTTTGGGATCAAGAGATGTGAATGGGTCTGTTCGTGAGCACCCTGTATTGCCTTTTTTGCCCAATCTCAAATTTCCACCTCACGATGCACCTAGGTTTAACCCGCAGGAACAAGAGATGCCTCCTGTACAGGGGTTGGGGCATATGGCACCTTCATCATCATCATTTCCTGAAAACCATTGGAAGGTTCTTGAAAACATTATGCTGAGAACTGGGTTAGGATCAGGCAACCTACTTAAAAGGAGAAACAAACTGGATGTCTGGTCTGAAGATGAACTGGATTGTCTCTGGATTGGTGTACGTAGACATGGAAGGGGCAATTGGGATGCCATGCTGCGAGATACAAAGTTAAAATTTTCTAAGTATAGAATTCCTGAGGATTTATCAATTAGGTGGGAAGAAGAGCAGCTCAAGATCATGGATGGACCAGCATTACCTGCGCCAAAACCATCCAAGCCTACCAAAGTGGGAAAATCAGGCTTATTCTCAGGCATTTCCGATGGAATGATGGCTCGAGCATTGCATGGTTGTAAACTAAATGAACAGTTTTTACCAACCCACCTAACAGACATGAAACTAGGGTTTCGTGATCTGCCTTCCAGCTTTCCACATTTGGAACCTCCTGAGAGACTTGGTCTGAACAGCAAACATATCTCACATCTTCCAACTCCCAGTGCTGACAAGTACCGGGTGAACATTCCTCGAGATTTGAATGCGGGACCATCGGACAGACTAGGAGCTCCGTCAAGCTTTGTTACGGAGTCACCATTTCTGCTGAATTCGTCGGGAAGCAGTAGCTTGGGTCCTCTTGGCTTGGGTTGCCAGAACAGGTTTGCCTTGCAAAAGGAGAATGATGATGGTGCAAGCAGATTTGTTAATTTGCCTAGCCTTCTTGACAGGTCTTTAAATATCTCACATGATTTACATAACAATGCGGGAGGTGGTGAATCTAGCAATTATCCATCACTTCCTGTACTTGATAAAGGTCAGAAAGTTTCTCAATCAAAGGGCAAGGAAGTGGTTGAGTGTGGTTCACTGAAGAATAAGCTACCACATTGGCTTCGTGAAGCAGTGAAAATTCCAGCAAAACTCCCTGAACCGGATTTACCACCTACTGTCTCTGCAATTGCTCAATCAGTTCGCATGCTTTATGGGGAGGAGAATCCCTCCATCCCTCCATTTGTTATTCCTTCTCCCCCTCCATCTCAACCCAGGGACCCACGGTTGAGCTTGAAAAAGAAGAAGAAGAAGAAGAAACATGGATTGCAAGTAATGAGGCAGTTCCCAATAGATTTTGCAGGAACTATTGATGTACAGGGTAGTAGCGTACATGGTGAGAGCATGGCTGGAACAAGTAGTCTGCAGGATCCAGCATTCCCTCTGCTTTCTAGAGTGATGGCCAGAACTTCAGGACTTCCTTCGAATGAAGCTAACCTTAATATGGCTCCTCTAAGTGTGACTGTGAATCCTTCAACTAGTACATTTCCTCTAATGAAGACAAGCTCTGGATTGTCTCCTTCACCTGACGTGCTTCGATTGGTTGCATCCTGTGTTTCACCAGGTCCACCTATTGCTACTAGTTCAAGTTTCCTTGGAAATATGGTCCCTCTCCCCAAATCCGTTGATCAGGTTGCTTCTTCAGACACCCAAGATTCACATGAAAAGCAGGAAACAGATCAGACCTCAGCTCCTAGTACATTGGGTCCATTCCAGGCAGAGAAAAAAGTTGAAACTAATAGCAGGGATTCTAGCAAAACACAGTCAGATTCTGCTCGACCCAGACAGGAAGATGTAGAGGAAATGTCATCTGAAGGGACAGTCTCTGATCATCAGGAGGATGACCGTGAACCATAGCTCTTTCCTATGGGGAGCTAATTGTTGTAATCATAATCATCTCTTGACGTGTAACTAAAGCCTCTGACCCTCCATTATTCTCAGTTTTTGTAGGGCAGGATGCAGTTAAAGTAGCAAATACAGTACAGGTTAGACAAGGTACTATGTAAAGCTTGTGTAAGAGGAAAGAAAAACATAGAAGTTAGCATATAATGTTGTTCGTCGTCCTTAGAGTCGAAGGCTTTGACCTTGTAGGACTTGTTTAGTAGCTGGGTTCAGCATTTCATTTAGGACTTCCTAAGTGTCAAAAATGTGGTTCATGTAAGCAAAACTTTGCTTGTATGTATTTTATGTACTTTGCAGTAATGTTCTGTTATTATCTGTTGTTTCTTGTACTTTCATTTCTTAAACTGCTTTGAACTGTTTTCTTGAGCAGAGGGTCTATCGGAAACAACCTCTACTCTGAGGTAGCAGGTAGGGGTAAGGTATATGTACACTCTACCCTCTCTAAAGGAACTACACTGGGTAGGTTGTTGCGTTTCATGCAATTCTCTTATCTTTATCGCTGTTGATTTTGAAGGTGGATATGTTGTGGCTATATTTGCTTATATAGTGAAATATATGAATATCTACTTGGTGGTTTTGATTATCTTAAAGGCAGGAGGGGAAAAATTTATTTTTTAGGATTTTAGTGTATATGCGGCTAAGAGCAAATATTGAAGTGAATAACCTTACTGAAGGATGTGAGCTTTTCTTGTGACATAAGTTTTTGGACAAAATGTATTTGAAGTTGAAATAAGGTATTTAGAAGTTGAAAGTGTGTTTGTTGTACACGGGTTTAACAACAACAATATATTCAGTGCAATCCTACAGAGCCTTACCTTATCTTATAAAGATAGAGAGAAATTGTTTTCGATAAACTCTGGTAATTGTACATGAACTTTACATGATGGAAAAGAGGGTTTGGGGAAGTTGAAGATTTATGAGTAAAAATGGAGTATTATTTTACTTAATATTTTGATATTCCCTCATACATTTCACCCTTCAAGAGTTTTGAAAACTTGACATTTTCTTCTACTTTGATATTTTTAAACCTTGAACTTTATACTATTTTAGAAACTTTTGAAACTTCCTAATTTAAACTATTGTCATACCTTGTGTCGTTTTCATACTTACAATCATTTAAATTTGTCAAATCATTTTTTTTTAAAGGTTGACTTTTACCCAAAAAATTCTTCATTTTACCCTTCACACGAGCTTACTATACAGAAGGAATGGAATTGAAAAAATGCACCCCCTCTTCTCCATCTCCCAAGAAAGAAGAAATAACTCATTGATCCTTTAATTTAATAAGATATTTGAGCATAATCAAGTGGTGAAATTGTTTCACCCTTAATCAGAGATTTCAATTTCAAGGCTTGGGAGAAAATCCTATTGAAAGCATTATTCTCGAATGCGGGCTCCAAACATCAACCGGTCAATTGTCCAACGGATTAATTTTGACTTTAGAAAAATAGTACTACATTAACAAAATTTACAATAATTTTATACATCATGTTCGAAATGGTAGCACATGGTACTGCCACATGCTCACCAAACATTTTCTTTGTGACACACAAATTTGTACAAACCGACATGCATACTTTTTATAAATATTTGTAGCCACCCCCCATCCCTCACGCTCCAAGACAGAATAATAAATTTAAAAAATGCAGAAAATATATTTTTACGTCTAAAAAAGTGAAGAGAAGGCAAGCTTTTACCCATATTTATTTGTCAACTTTCATTTAAACATTCGAACTGTAATGGACAGTGCACTCATCAGCACAAAAACTGTTACATTTTAGGTTTAATATCTTATACAGACGCTATTAGTATTTTTTTTTTTACCTAGCTATATTTTCTAGGTCATGAGCAAATTGAGTTTTGCTTAGCCATTGTTTTTATCGTTTTTGGTTTAGTGAAGAAATTTCTAATTTACCTTAGTTCTTAAGTAACTTTAAATTTCTCGTTTTACACTTAATGAGATTATTCATAGCTGTACGCTGCATTTTTATGACTTTGTTTGTTTTAGATCATAAAATTTTTTTCCCGAAAAATGATACATTATATCGATAGTGATCGAGCTGACTTCATGTGTGCATCTTGATTATATATTCCATCGAGTACATGTTACTTTCCATCAACACAAGTACTATCAAATAACTCTTACCACCAAGAATACGCAGATAAGAAGAAATCACCTAATATCATTTGTTAATATGCTGAGATTTGAATGTGAGACTTTATGATATAATATTCTTCTCTTACATCAATGACAACTAACTAGCTAGGTTACATTGTGTTATTGAATTGGTTCTGTTATTCTTAAACTCTATATTCAGTCAAATATTGTCACATAAATTGAGACGGAGAATCATATAAAAAGAAACAAATTACCATTTTGTTTTAGTTGTTTCTCCAAAACTGGGGATTTGTTATCCTCAATCAATAAAACGTATACAAGATGATTTTCATCCAACTACTAATAATCATGAAAATTAAGAAGAAAATGATCATACACATATATTTGTACTTAATTTCCTTTTTTCTAGCTTAATTAATTAGTGGGAAGACCACTAATTAGTCAAAGTTTGAGAATGATAATCATGAGGTTTAGTGGTAGCAACAAATCTAGATGAAAAAGCACAAAACTTGTAATAATCTTCATCATCAGAGACATGATCAAAGTTCAACGCATAACTAAGTGGATCGTACCGACATTGGAACGACGATTGACGACTAGTACTACACGTAGTACTACTCGTTTTCAACATCTTATTACTACATCTCTTCAACTTCCTCAACAATCTTGTTAGCCCACAACATGATCTTGATGTACTAAAACTTCGAGTCGTGGTGTTGGTGATGGTGATGGTGTTGGTGGTAATTGAAGATCTAGGCAAGTACCATTGACGATCTTGCATTTGTGTCATTTTTCTTATATTAATGAATAACCTAAGTGAGTGAGACAACTTTTGGTTAATTTGAGAGAGATGAAGGGAAATGGCCTACCTAGGTTTTGAATTTATAAAGATACGAGGGTTCGTTGGAGATAGTAGTTGATAGTTTCGATGATAATTTAAATCTTAGTATAATGTATTTTTAATATTATGTTTGGTACTATGCATCATTGATATTATAATATATAGTGTAAAGACAAGTGTTAGGATGAGATTGGAAAGAGTTTAAAATTAACAAAAAAAGAGAGAAAAGTTCACTGTATGTGTAAATAAAAAGAGAAGTTTAGTTCAAAGTATCAGTCACTAGATTACTCTACTTTAATACAGTAATATCCGGACTAATCTGTGGGCATTATCGATACAAATATTAATTATATGTAGAGGCGTAGACAAGATTTAAAGTTTATGAATTTGAGATTTTAGTTCTTTAAAGTTATTAGATTCTAAATTTATAATCTGTACATATTCAATAATTTTTTTAATTATAACTATATAATTTGAACCAAAACTCGTGGATTCGGCCAAACCCATAATAACCTAGCTCCTCCCCTGAGTACATTACTATATATTTTGTGCCTTTGATCTTAATTTCTTCACGATAAATTTCATCTATTTTATTGGCCTTTCACTAAATTTAAACAAAATACTGCTCTAATTTGAATTCATACATTGTTTTGATTGTTGGAGGGCGATGTGATCTGAAGAATTTAAAATCAAAATTCATGTGAAAATAGAACATTTTGAATAAATGGAGAATTTTTTTTTAATAACATTGGCATATCATAAAGAAAAAGTTATTTAACAACAATAACAAATCCGTCTTTTGTAGGATTGAAAGGTTATTTTTCGATAAATTCTATTTTTATTCAGAACAATATTATTTGATCAAACAAAAGCCAGAATAATATAATCAAGAAGACGTTATTAAACTATGATAAAACTTTATAGATAACATAAATAACAACTAACAAGTCATGATATATATTTGCACCTAAAAGTTTTCTCACTTAATTACTGATTATTAACTAAACGACGAATATGGAGGGTGAGAAAGAACAGTTCATGCATCCAAACCATAGTTGGTAACGAGAATCCTAATGATTAAGGAATACTAAACAGTTTTAAAGAAAATATAATTAAAAACTAAAGTTATATAACTGACAAAACCACACTAGTTTTATTTGCAAACCTTTATTTTTACAATAAAAAATAATAATAATATGAATGTAAACAATAAAGCATAATTTTAAATGGTGTTGGTGGTGGGGTCAGGGTAATGGGCTGAATCAATTTGGGCGAAGGGTGGTGTGATACGCTCTTCATTGAAATATTATATGGTATATATAGATTAAACGTTAATTATTATGCATGTATATTTAGACAAAAAAATTGCATGCTCGCCACTTGTGGGTGAATAGGTGGAGAGCAGTGGCGGACTCAGGATTTTTGTTTAGGAGATTCGAAAAATAAGAATATAAACGTGTAAATAAGTCTTTAGAAATGAGACCCTTGAATTCATTTGGGTTTAAAACCACACTTTTAACACACAGGGATTTGAATTGGTGACATGAAGCTTGATTTTTGGGGGACTTGTCGCTGCGCCATTAGTCTCTCCTTGTTATTGAGGGGGTTCAAGATATATATATATCTATAAAATTATAGAAAATTTGTCTTATATATACAGTGTAATTTGAACCCCCTGAAATCTACGTGGGTCCGCCCCTGGTGGGGAGTGGGAACTTAGAAGCGGAGCTAGGATTAAAAATTTGAGGTTTTAAATTTTAGGATAGTGGGATTATTCAAATCCACAACTCTAGCATGTAAAATATTTTCACAACTCCTTCTTTACTACCGAGTTGCGTCCACCAGTATTGTTGGGAGTTCACAAGTTAATAATATATATATTATTTAGTTTCTTAATACGAATATATCATTTACGAAAAAATTACTGAGTTCATCCATTCTTGCAAACCCCATCTAGCTCCGTTATGGGTGGGGTGGGGGGTCTGACTGATCTGAGCAGATGAGATCAATTGGTGTCCACTCACATCCACGTTGGTGAAGAGTAAAAGATGAAAAGTAAAAGGCTGCATGCTGAGCCAAACATATTTTTATTGTATTCACATGATTGTTGGCTTTTTCCTCTTTGGGGAGTAAAACATTTTTTTTTACCACAAGAGTCTCATGTTCATCTTTATTTGTTTAATTAATTAATGCCAGTTGTGAGTTAGGGATTGTTTATTGTTATTTGACCGTTTGAAATTTCTGTTAGGAATTTTAAGTTTTTTATACTATAGTATTATTTAAATATTCGAGGATCCAAATTGAATTATCTCGGTTTTATTATTTTCATCTTGTTCACCGTCGCTACATAAAAAATGATCAGGCAATTAATTCTTAACTGTCGCTAAATATGTATTTTTAGCGGCAATAACATTTTTTGTATATGTTTCTAAAGCCTTTAGTGACATTGGTTCTAATGGCACTTAACTAATATCGATAAATACTTTAACACTCTTTATTAATGTCAATATTTATTGCCGTTAAAAATTATTTTTGTTTTAGTGCGTAAAAGTTAATCATTCTCACCTTATTCTAAATATCTTTGCTTTTAATCGTATCTTTTCTACTTATACATGCATCCATCTCAATATCCTCGTTTCAGTCTAAATCATGTTGACTAATTAGAGGTTAATTTGAACTTCACTTTGACTATCTACCCGGCTTCTCATTTTCATTTTACTTTCATATAAATATAATTCAACTTATAAACTTGTAATATCTGATAATAAAAATGATTTAATAATTAGCAAGTGGAGATAACCACAAAAGTGGTTTGATTTATCATATCCTCTTCATTGTCCTGAAGCTAAAAAGAAAATAAAAAAGATAGGAACCAAATTGTGTTATAGGATGAGTATTATTGTACTAGCAAATACTGTTTCTTTGTCAGCAAAATACAGTAATTATTTGACTACTGAGAGCTGATGTTTTTTTTTACAGCCTTTTACAACGACAATATATAGTAAGAAATTATTTTCGATAGACACTCAACTTAAAAGAAAGATAAAATGAAGATATTAATAACAAGCAATAACATAATTATAATAATCAATAAGGACCGTAACTGAGTGAATGATAAATAATCTTTCATTTTTATCATTTCGGATTTGAATCTCAATTGCATTTATTTGTGAGCGTTTTAATAATTATTAAACTAAAAATTCAATTGCAAAAAAGAAAGTAAATAGTTTCCACTTGCAAATCACACATCTCCAAACTGTCACCATTCGAATATATTAATATCATAAAAGGATAAAAGATGAGTCAATAAAATTTTAATATTGTTAATTTATTAATATTCGATCAGTATAATTTCTGTCAAAAAGAGCTAAATTAAACGATATATGATTTGTCAGTCATTATAGAGGTCAATCATAGGCATAGGCAGTCTAATTAAAAACATAAAAAAAGATTCTTAAAATGGAATCCTAAGAGATCTTGATTCTTTTTTATTGGCAGTCCACTCATATTTTCTTGAAATAATAATTTGTTGTATAGTATTTTCTTAAAACTAATGTACATTATTTTTTAAACAAGGAGAGTTTTTTTTAAGCTTGATTACAAAAAAAATCCAAATTTGAAATAAGAAGGTTAAGAGAAATAATTGGAATTATGTGACACTTGCATGTTTATGTAATTACAGATAGAGTTTTGTAATTAAACAAAAAAGGAGCTAGCCAGCTAGGCTATTGTAATCTTTATTACTATCCGTTTTCAATTTATTTATCATACTTTTATTTTTGTTCATTTTTAAAAACATATCTCTCAAATTATTTTTTTGACAACTCTTTAATTCAAACTTTCCATATGGTATATATATATATATATATATAACACCACAAAATTAAAGGGTATTTAGTACATTTCATGTATCTTTAATTTAAGACAACAAGAATCAAAAGTCTTTTGATCTTCTTAAAGGACATAATACATAAATATGCTTTTAAACTTTGCTTTAATTGACATTTATGTCCTCCAATTATGAATATGTACAAATATGTATTTAAATTTGTATAAAGTTGAACAAACAGACACGCGTCCCACATGACATAATATATATGTAGAATACAAATTTCCATGTAGAATATTGTCACATAGAACGCATGTGTCTACATATTCAACTATATACAAGCTTAAGTGTCATTTGTGCTTGGTGAATATAAATGTTAGTTAAGATCAAGTTAACAAGTACGTTTATGTAATGGACACCCCTAACACTAGGGAAGTTTTTTTAAAATATTAACCCTAGCTAGCTAGTTCTAGTTAATAATTGTATATATATACCAAGTTGTCAAAACATTTTGAATAGTTCAAGATAGGAGACGTAGCATATCTCTGAGAATATCTTGTAATGTCTGAAGAAGACAGAAACTAACGTAAGTCAATGCCTTTGAAGATGACTATTTGGATGAAACTGTGTCTTATGAGGCATCACATGGAGTTCACAGATAGGTGCTATCCCAAAAAAATTAACCTCCACATGGATATAAATTATAGGATTAATTATTATTATTTACTCTTTCTTAATTTGTGTGTGAATAAAGGGATTGATAACCAACATAAGTTGGTGTAATGTACTGTTCTACTCTTATGAAGAAAATTTTATTGGGAGCATCACCCTATGAAGGATTATGTAGTGCAGGATCTAGATTTAGTCAGTGCTCTAATGTAAACATTGAACACTTGATGATTTTTTTAAAAAAAAGGATTAATAGTGTTATGTTTGAGGTTTAAATAACTCAGATCTGTAAGTTGATTTGTCAATTTTCTTTTTACTAACTTCCACTTGTCTAAAAATAGAGTATATTCACACTCTTTGTCATGTTAGCGTTCATAAAGATAAAGACGTCAAGCTCAGGAGACTGACTAAGTTTAGCTTGTTTAAGTATCTAACTAATAATTTATGTCAAGTTCAATCAAAAGAGATTTTAAGGTATTTTGCCTCTCTAACTTTTTTTCTTTTCCTTTGGGAAAATAATCATATATTGATCATCTCCTCGGAATAAATAATAAGTAAATACATGTCAACGTGAATGAAAAGGTATATTTGTATTGTGGTAAATATTCAGATTAATTGTTTTTTATTTTTTTAATTATTATTATTATCTTGTTGCCAAAAAGTTTTGACCGAAAGGCAACTCTTTTGACTGATAAAAATATAGTCCACTAGTGATGGATCCTCCTCCTCTCATGTGCTACAACGTGATATCTGTAGACTGCACAATCAATACAATAAGAATGAAAAAAAAATCAAAAAGATAAAGGAACTAGGACAAATTTTAATTAATTTATCTTGTAAATTCGAGGTTTATTTTAAATTGTCCCCTTAGTTCTACATTTTTAATATCGTGATTTTGGTATTATGATATGATATATGGTATATATTTTAATTTTTTTGATATTTGGTATTTAAAAATAACATATCAAAATATCGAATATCATATCAAAGTATATAATTACATAAATAACATCTATATATTTGTACACGTGTACCCAGGGGGACTTGAACCCAAGACCTATAATTAAGGATAAAGAAGTACTTACCGCTCCACCAACCCTTGTCGGTAGTAATGTAATATAGTTGAATTTATATCAATTCATTTGTCTTTAAAGACACAAAAAAATGAAAAAGATACACCCTGTCAAATTCTTGGCTCAAATTGTTATCTGTGAATTTGGGCCTAAACTCCATGAGTAGGCCCATCGGGTCGAAATGCGGAGGAATTTTAGCCCAAATGATCCGCGAGTATGGGAAGAAGAAAATGCGAGTACAATTCACCAATTTGGAACCCTAATTGTTTGAATTTTTTGGAAAAACCTGTACTCTCTATACTCGCCCCCAAATTTTCAGGAGCTGTGATCATCACAATTCTCTACTGCCACTGTAAATTCCTCTCTTTCTTAACATATATTTGTACAAGCAAACTTTGTAGAGTATTTTTTTTCTTTTCATATGAATTTTTTTCTCAATTTTGGTAATTTTTATTTCTACATTTATATGTTCAAGTACCTGATAAATTGATATATGTGTGTGTGCGAATATGAGAATGTTGTGTTATAGGTGATTTTTGTAGTTATCTATGATATGTCAATTTGGAAAATTTGAAATTGAGACTTAACTCAGTTAAGTAATGTTTGGTATGATGAAGTCATTTTTTTAAAGTAACAATGTTTTCTTTGATGTTTAGTTGGTGAGATGAAAAATATTTTTCGAAGAAATATATATTACTCCATCCGAACCAATTTAAGTGTCTTACTTTCCTTTTTAATCTGTCTCAAAAAAAATGTTTATTTAGAGAACTAACATTTTTAAATTTAAGACCACAAGATTTAGAGAACATGTTTATTCAGAGAACTAACATTTTTAAATTAAGACCACAAGATTCGAAAGTCACCCTTTTCTTAATCTTCGTGCCCAATCAATCTTAGACACTTAAATTGGGATGGAGGGAGTAAGAGTTAAAAATTATGTTGACAAACTCAAAGAGTCCTTTTGGTAAAAAAAAATTAGTGCTAGAGTATAGTACTTAATACTCCCTCCATCCCTTTTTAGTTGTCCACTTTAGAAATGACACACAGATTAAGGCAACAATGATTAGCACAGTAAAGTTACAATTTTACCCTTATGACAACTTTTCACTTCAAAATTACAACCACTTATTTGAATTCAAGTGAAATAAATTGGAGGGAAACAACATACACTTTTACAATTTTCAAGAAGTGTAAATAAGGGTATAATAGGAAAAAATTTGTTGTCCTTTCTTGATTTGTCAAAATGGACAACTAAATAGGGACAACCAAAAAAGGAAATATGGACAAGTAAATAGGGACGGAGGGAGTAGAAACTTGAGGAGTTAGTAGGTAAATGATTGAAGATTGATTAATCATAAAATTATATATATAATGACATTAGCTCCAATAATTCAAATTATAAATGTTTTGAAAATTAGTTAGAGATAACATTTTGATGTAACCATGCAATACGATGGGACCATTAGTTTAGGGTGTATTTATTAAAAAAATTAAATAGGGAGGATGCTCCACCCATTATTATCTCTATTATAAATGAGATTACGAAAAGATATAGATAGAATCGACCTATCATGTATATTATAATAGCAAATATTCCACTAGATTTGATAACATAATTAATGTCACAAATGGATTTTGACACAAGTAATCGAATAATTGAAGAAATGAGGCTTTAAGCAGCTTGAAGCTATCTTTTAACCCTAAATGAGTTATGTTAGATTCTAATTAATGAAATCTAATGTAAATAATAACTGAATCCTAGCAAGTATGAACAATATGGAGCTATAACAAAATCCTCTCTGTATAATTTTGAAGAGATGTGATGTGCTTCTGTGACATGTTATATAGAAAGGAATTCTGTGGTTGTGCTTTGACAATGCTAGTTCTCATTATTTAATTAAAAAATCCAATTGTTGGTCATTAAAGAGTATAAAAGAAAGAATTTCAAATTTACAAGATACGATCTATATGTTTCAGGAGACTGTATTTATTGGATTAATCTTTTCTATCTCAAATAGAAACGAAAACTTATAATTTGTGGATGACTTGACTAGAATTTTGTTCTAGTAGCCATAATGATGACCAAATAAGAACGGACATGTTTCAGGCACAAAATTGAGTACTTGGATTGGGGGAACACATTTTACCTCAATGGTTATGGACCTTGTGCCGCCATCAGGTGATCATCACGAGAAAGAAGACTGTGGGCGGCATACATGTGTAAGGATTGAAAGTGCAAGAGGAGAACTTTGTGGTCCAGATGGAGCTACTGTCACTGCTTCGAGGAGTGTTTACCTGGGAATAGAGAATGCAGGAACTAGTTGGAATGAAAGAACATCATCTAATGGTGCAAATGTACTGCCAAACGCAGATTCTTTGGCTGTGAATTGCTATAGGAACTTGGAGCCTCATGATGGTATGGAATTTGACTCGAAAGAGAATGCCTTTTCATATTACAAAGAATATGCTAAGTCCATTGGATTTTCCTCAATAATAAAGGCTAGCCGTAGATCCAGAATTTCTGGAAAATTTATTGATGCAAAATTTGTTTGCAGTAGATATGGAAGCAAGCGTGAACCTTCTACTTCTGGTGCAGAACCTGTTCCAAGTGCTGATGCAGCAGGAAGTAATCCTGTGAAGAGAAAAAAAGGCAGAATAAACAGGTCTTGGTCAAAAACAGATTGTAAGGCATGCTTGCATGTAAAGAGAAGGTCTGATGGAAGGTGGGTTATTCATACTTTTGTCAAAGAGCATAACCATGAAATATTTCCGGATTGGACCAGCTATCCTTCAGGTCACAGGAACATTGATCTGGGTAAGAATGATGCAGATGCATTTCATGCTATCCGTGGGAGGACGAAAAAGACTTATGCCTCGACGTCTAGACATTCTGGTGTTATGAAGAAAGTTGAGAAGCAAAAGAATGGTGGCACAAATAGTAGTCCTCAATCTTTGGCTTTAGATGAGGGAGATGCACAAGTTATTCTTGAGCATTTTCTTTGCATGCAAGATGAAAATCCAAACTTCTTTTATGCATTGGATTTGAATCAAGAGAAACGCTTGAGAAATGTCTTTTGGATTGACGCTAAATGTAGGCTTGACTGTGGTAACTTCAGTGACGTAGTTCTTTTTGACACTACCTATATTACAAACGAATATAAGCTGCAGTTTGTTCCTTTTATTGGCGTCAATCATCATTTTCAGTCCATATTGCTGGGATGTGGGCTGATTGCAGATGAGAGTAAGTCAACATTTATTTGGTTGATGCGAGCATGGCTCAGGGCATTGGGTGGACAAGTTCCAAAAGTAATTCTAACTGATCAAGGCAAAACACTGGAAGAAGTTATTGCTGAGGTTTTACCAGATTCACGCCATTGCCTTTGTTTGTGGCACGTACTGAGTAAGATCCAGGAGAAGCTTGGTCATGTCATAAGGCAGCATGAAAGTTTTCTCTCCAAATTCAATAAATGTATTTTGAGGTCAGCGACCAATGAGTTGTTTGAAAAGAGGTGGTGGAAGGTGGTTGATAGATTTGATTTGAGGAATGACTTGTGGATTAAATCATTGTATGAAGATCGGCTAAGGTGGGTACCGACATACATGAATAAAATCTTCTTGGCAGGAATGTCTACGATGCAACGAGCAGAAAGCGTTAGCACTCTTCTTGATAAATGCATATTATGCAAGACGACATTAAAGGAGTTTCTTGTCCAGTATAAAAAACTGCTGCAAGAGAATTGTCAAGGAGAGGCAAATGCTGATTTTGAGACAAGACATATACAACCAGGATTGAAATTTCCCTCCCCTTTTGAAAAGCAGATGTCAACTTTATACACTCATACGATATTCAAGAAATTCCAAGTTGAGGTTTTAGGAGTGGTTGCTTGCCACCCTAAAAAGGAAAATGATGATGGTGAAAATGGCACATATAGAGTCCAAGATTTTGAAGTAAATCAAGAATTCATTGTTGTATGGAATGAGAGGACATCTGATACTTCATGTTCTTGTCATTTGTTCGAGTACAATGGATTCCTTTGTAGACACGTGATGATAGTTCTTCAGATGGCTGGTGTGCATAACATCCCCTCTAAGTATGTTTTAAGACGCTGGACTAAAGGTGCAAAGAGTAGAGAGAAGACGAGACAAGTAACTTTGGTTGATTCCAGGGTTCAACGCTACAATGATCTATGTCAAAGGGCATTTGAGCTAGGTGATGAAGGGTCGTTATCTCAAGAGAGTTATAACATTGTATTTAGTGTTCTGGAAAATTTTCTGAGAACATGTGAGACAGTGAATGATGCAAATTTAAATGAATCAGAACCGTGTTCTCTCCCAAATCAAGGGCTTAATGACCTTGAAGTATTCACAGATAGTAATAATCCAAGTAAGAGTAACGGAAAGAACATAGCAAGAAAAGAGAAGGAAGTAAGTTAATCTTCTTTCTAATTCCATTATGCAAGTTACTCAGGAGTCGTTTGGTAGGGTGTATAGAATCGTGTTGAGTAAGGTGTATTAGTAATGTTGACAAGTAATTTTGGTATTAGTTATGTTGAGATTATTTCTTGTGCATTATTTGGTTTGGTGTAGTAAAATAACATACATAGCATAATTTCTAAAAAGAATTATTTGTTTAGAAAAATAGCCTCCACAAACACGGTGAAAAGGATGAGAAAAAGGTTTTGAGGAATAATTGTGTCTTTAACCACGCTAATGCATGAACTAAAAACCTTTGCATTGTTAATACCATGGTTTGCCATGTATTTGTTATACATAGAATAGTACCAAATAGAGTGAATAACTAATGTGTGCATTAGTTATACATAGGTTGAACAACTGTACCAAACAATATAATGATAATACACAAAGCTAATGCATGCATTATTTTTCTCTAATGCATCCTACCAAGCGACCCCTAAGTGTTGATTTAGTTCATTCTTACGTATCTTTTAGGTAAATACAGAGCAGAAGATAATATCCATGGCGGGGATAGATAGTAGATGGCAACTTATGGTTTTTTTATCATAGCATTACATAAGCATACATACACCTAAGACGGAAATATTGGCTGATTTATCTCATGCATTCCATGTATGTTGCAGGGACAATTAGGTCTCGGAGAACCAACTGTGGATTATCCTTTCAGATCACATTCAGCCATACAGCCAATGGTGTGGTGATTTTATTTGTAAATTTTGTCTTATTTGGCACGGGGGTGAAAAATAAGTGTCTTGTAATATATTTACTACTCCCTTCTTTTCATTTTATGTGGTGATGTTTGATTGGTTTTAACAAGCCATGATATTTATGTGGCATAAAAGCATGTCATTTAAGGGTAAAAGGAGAATTTTAGATAGTTTTTTTTTGTTTTGTCAAATATAGAAAATTGACATTTTTTTTAACAAATTATAAAGGAAAGAGAGTCACATAAATTGGAACTTAGGAGTATTCGAATAATCATTGATTTTGTGATCCAAATTCTATAATACATGTTAGGGCCACATATATTCCAGAATTCCTTTTCCTGATGGCTACTATAGCAGCCCCTAAATGATTCAAGGAGTGGTATGTAATGCTACTTACAATTGTATATCTGTGTGCTGTGTATGTAGTGCATGATTTCAGAATAACTGAACTACCAAGTATGTTGCAGGGACAATTGAATACAAATACCCAAGGCTATGGCAACCATTTAAACATGCTGGGGGTGGTGATTCAATTAACTTCAATCACTGATGTGTTCTATGATTTCTGGTGTTGTCTCAAACTAATTCGGTTGTCTTTGTTCTTTTTTAGGGACAATTGAGTACACTTGCTTCAATTGAAGATGGCCCTTATCTCTCTCAACCTAGATTGCATGGACTGGTACTATCTATACATTATGTAAAAAGTTTTTTGCTGTGTGTCAGGATATCATTTCCTGTAGCTTTGCTGAAGTTGGGTAGATAGATTAGAAAAATTCTTCAGAAACTAAATTCAAAGCCATTTGGCTAAAAGATAAATGGTTTCTCTGGTGTACTAACGTCAGATCAAACAGTAAATTGTGAGCCAATCACAACCGCATGCCAAACAAGGTTTCCTCAAAGACTAACCAAATACACACTGTGACCTTCTACTCTCTAGTTTACATTTTGCAGTTTCCCCGGAAATTTTGCATCCAAGCCGTTTTTCCAGTAATAGCTACGCCTTCTTGTGACAATCTTTATTCCATGGCTTATTTTCTATCCATGAATTTTAGTTTTGACTGTCTGATGTTTAGAGAAGACCACATATTTTTTCAGGTTTGTCTTGGTCTTGGTAAGTGTTTTAGGTTTTGAGTCACAGTTTATGAAATTCATGGAGTACTTTTTTCCAAAATTATTTTCCAAAAAGAAAAACAAATAAATAAAAATCCATAAGCCAGATTAGTGCAAGTCTGCAAGAGCAACCTTCTTCCCATCTATGGATGGGTACCCTTCAACTAAATAATGTGTACTGACAATTGTTGCTGTTCCATTTACTCTTGATATTAGATTATCATTCTTCTGTCTTGTAGGGGCAAGTGTATTTTAGGCCTGCAGATGCTCAAAGTTCTTTTGGGGTTCAGGACAGTCTCCAAGAGGTGCTATACTTTTTGATCATTTTGCCTTGTTCTTCTCGTGTTGTTTCACCACCATTTTGTTCCTTTGTACTTAATTAATTTCCATTTTCTGGGTTCTATCATCAGTCTATCGTGGCCAATACGGAGAACTTGTGCTCAAAGAATTGATCTTGACAATAGCTCACGCTGCAGTTCCTTGACCAACTTTACCATCTAGTAGTTTGTACATATATGAGATCATTGCCTTATGCACAGAACTTCAACAGGTGCGATTATTATTCTGATGTCTTTTGTAGCTTCCATAACTTGACAAACATGAAGGACATATATTATCTAACGTGAAGTGTGGAAAAAATGAGGGCGAAGATACTATTTTTTATATTTATACTTTTTACATTGGAAGAGGGAATGGGAAGTTTGGAAGTGTAAAACTAGGTCAGATCTAATTTCACTATTTAAATACTACTGGTTTGGAAGTAGAGATTACTTTGAGTCTTGAGATGTCTACAAAAATATAGCTTGAATTAGTTGAGTGACTTTGTAGGTGAAATAACAGTAGTTGAGTGGTTTTTCTGCTACAAAACAAAGTTGAGTGACTTTCTGAGATAATTATCATTAGTTGAGTGACATTTTGAGATAAATTTTTTTAGTTTAGTGATGGTTTGAGAAATTAACTCACAAATGGATCTATCTTTTCTTTTTGGTTTCTGACCGAGGCTCTTTTCTCCTTAACAATTTTTTTTCTTAATTGAATCAACATGGAATGACGTTGTTGAAGAGGCGTGTCAAAGCGGAGTGAGCGTTATTGCAGAGCTAGGAAGGAGCATAAGGGAGAGATTGCAGTGGAGTGGAGTGTTGTAACAAGTATGGAGTCTCACTTGTTTCACCAATGTGAGACACTTCAGGCATTAGATTATTGGTATGTCGTCATTAGACTCCGTAATCTATTATCTTTATGTAGTGTCTTTGATAGCTAACATACATCTCTGAAAGTGCTTGATAGTTTTGAGGAATTGTCTATATGATTCAGAAGGGAGTATGAGTGTGTGTATTATAGCAAAATTTTTGTATCAAGTAATAAAAATACTTGCAGTAAATTACGTCAAATATCCATATATTATGACTCATTTAGGAAGATGTTCCTTGTATTTTAGAATCAAATACATAATACAAGTACCATGGAAATCCTAGTATAAGAACTAGAGTACCTTTTTTCATGTTTACTTCAGCCCTTAAATTTGCAGGTTTGCTCAATTATTTCAAAAGTAAGAAGTAAAAGAATTTTCTTTAGAATCATTTAAAACACCACAAGAACAACAAAAAGGAACTGTTAATTTCCTTTGTTCATTCCATAACTCAAACCTTGCCAAATCAAAATTGTCAAATTTCTCATATTTGTATGGAGACAACAAATATAAAAATGTCTTAATTCAAAGAACGCCGAATGGTGATGGATTTTCATGAGATATAAACAAATTTCATCCAGTATACATAAATAGAAATCTCCCTAATGTCTTATCTTTACAAATTATGTGTGCCATGATTTCCATTTTCTATCTAAAAACCCATAATAGGCATGTCTCCATGGTCTTATGAAAAGCAAAGGAGCACTTACACCCCAAAAAGCCACAATAAATCCTATTGCCATGGAAACGTAGAACCATTCCACTTCATTATCATCATCTTCTTCTTCTTCATTTTCAACCTCAGGATTTTTACTGCAACGCTTCACGAGTGGAAGCCCACACAGTTTATTTCCAGTAAAACTAAAAGGGCTAAAGCTTTGAAGTTGAGTGCTCACAGGAATCTGCCCTGATAAGTTGTTGTGAGATACATTCAAGTAGCTCAAAGAGGACAAACTCGAAATACTTTGTGGTATTTCACCAGAGAGTTGATTATTCGAGATATCAAGTGATTCTAATACCTTCATCTTGTCAATGTCCCTGGGAATACTACTAGTCAGCTGATTGTGGGAGAAATTTAATGATCTCAATCCAACAAGACTTGTGAGACTCATAGGAATGTTTCCAGAAAGATTATTGTTAGAAAGATCCATGCTAGTAAACAATGACAAAATGGTATCATACTGATACATGTTGCCCTTAGTTGCTACTCTTGCACTTTCCCTGAAAACTCCAACATAATAAGAATAATCCATCTCGTCGTCCCCATCTCTAATTTCCTTCCTCCCATTCACCATTGCTGTGAAATTATTAACACACCGAGGTATAGCTCCAAACAAATTGTTGTTGGCAAGATCCAAGATTTGAAGTTCATTGAGCTTGCAAAGTTCTGGAGCTAGTTCACCATCGAATTTATTAGACCGAAGACTAAGGACTATCAGCTTTGAAAGTGTACCAAACCAAGGTGGTAAATTTCCATCTAACTCATTCTCATTCATGTCTATTTTCCACAATCTTGTGCAGTTGTTCAAGGATGAAGGCAATGGACCAGAAAGTTTGTTTCTTTTCAAGTCCAAAGATTTCAAATTGCTTAAAGCTCCAATGGATCTTGGGATTCCTCCGGTAAGCTTATTCTCTCCCAAGTTGACAACTCTCAACTCTGGCCAATTCATCCAACAATCAGGAATTTCTTCGGAGAAACGATTTCCCCCAAGGTGTAGAATCTCCAACATGTAAGATTCATTCTTGTTATCACACAAGAAGCTTGTTAAACCCTCCGAGAAAGTGTTATCTGAAAGGTCTAACTCTGTTACCATGGTTGGAATATGTGGGAGTAAACCACTGAAGTTGTTGGAACTCAAGTATATCAACCAAGGACCTCCACTTCCCATGGAGCTATCAGAAATTGAGAAAGTTGGAATCTCACCAATGAGCTGGTTGTGAGACATGTTGAGGAAACAAATTTGAGACGATAAGTTCCAGAACCAAGTTGGAACCTCACCTACTATACCAGCATTTGATATGTCCAAATTCATGATTGATTGTTGAGTCTGGATCCACAAAGGGAAGTCAGGGCCTAAGCGCCAACCGCCAATTACTATGTCACTAGCTTGGAATGATGGAATCCAATCTGAACTCACCCTTAAAGTCAAATTACTCTTAGATGCAGAGAAAAACTTCAAATTTGTCAAGTTGGTGAAATGTTCTTCTGTTAACACCCCTTCCAACCTGTTATTGGACATGAAACAGAATTGTAGATTTGGAAGCTGCCCAAAACTTTTTGGAAGATTTCCAATCAGTTTGTTGTCATTTAGTCTTAAGGTCCTCAAAGAAGAACAATTTCCTGAGCCTATTGGAGGAAAATCATTCATAGTATTGAAAACCTCATATACTTCTCCTTCAAATCGATTTTCTGAGAGATCGAGATCTTCTAATTTCCATAGCTTTCCAATTACACTCGGTAACTTTCCAGAAAGAAAATTTTCAGACATATCGATACTAGTTAGAGATGTCAGATTTGAAATCGAGTCTGAAACTGTTCCCTCAAGACTGTTATCCTTCATGATAAGTGTTTCAAGATTCTTGCATCCATAGAGCCATTTGGGATAGTGGAGTTCAGATTATTGGAAGCAAGACTAAGATATGTAAGCTTGGTAAAATCACCAACTCCATTTGGTATTGGACCCTCAAGACCACTAAAACTCAAATCAAGATATTCAAGATTACTAAGATCAAATAACCATTGAGGCAAAACAGAACCAAAGGAGTTGCTAGAAGCTCTCAATGTTGTGAAAGAAGTCAAGTTAAAAGGACCTTCAGGAAATGAACCAGTGAAATTACTTCCAGTGAATTCAAGAGAAACAAGACTACCAAAACTGAAAACCCACCCGGGAATCGGAGAGCCAAAGTTATTCAAAGAAAGATCAAGATTTTCAAGAACAGAACTGTTATGATCAAACAAAGGAGGTATTGAATGAAGGCTACAATTCGAAAAACGAAGATTAACCAAAGAAGGAAGCATGCTAATCACCTCAGTCCAGTTTGTTGCTTCACTTAAATCCACACCAGACATGTCCAAACTATCAAGATTTTCAAGACTTGACAACCACTGGAAATCATCAATCTTTAGGCCTTTAAGTTCTGACCAATCCCATCCGTTAATTGATAGCTCAATGACAGAACCAGTCACATTGTGGCACAAAACTCCTTCCCAGTTGCAACAATCTTCTTTATCAACCCAAGAAGATAGTACATTTGTGGGATCATTTGCTTCTTTCTTTAACCTTAGCAAAGCTGTTTTCTCATTTTCTTTGCAAATTCCACTGCAAGAACAAAGCTTTATAGTAAACAGGACAAGTACTATGTAGTACAGCCCTCTCATTTTTGTGAAATTATAAGAAAAGAATGTGCCAAAAAATGGCATAATATATACATACATTTGGATGACAAATTCTTGGTGGCTTCTGAAATTATAAATGTTAAATGTGATGTCTGCTTTTTAGACTTGGAAAGTGCAAGTTGTTACTTATTTGAATGCATTTCTCTTTGCTTGTTTTAAAGTTTGACCATCAGGCTGAGTTGTGTTGAGATCTTTATTCTTTACAAGGAGAAATTGTTGACTTACATTAAAAGACACGAGCAGAAAGACGCATGGAGAAAAGATTTACTATTCCTTTCGTCTGAATTTATATAGCGATATTTGATTGGGAATGAAATTTAAGAAAGGAATGAAGATATTTTAAATTTGTGATATTAGAATAAGTCATTATTGTTTGTGTAGTTATAAATTATCTCAATAATGATAAAGTAAATAATTTATTTTTTCTTGAACAATAAAAAGGAAAGTATGACATATAAATAAGGTCGAAGGGAGAAAAAAAAAGGAATATGGATGAAAGAGTGATTTAATAAAATGTAGGTAGTTAGAAGCCAAGACCTCAAAATTGACTTCCAGATATGGGCACACACTAAACATTAGATTATATAGGTTAGATACATCAGTTTCTTTGTTTTACAAAATGCAAGTGGATAAAACGAAGACTTTTGTTTATCCAAATTGTGTTTGAAATATTAGTTTCAACTTTCAACTCATGTACATGTGAATACTTGGGTGTGGACAGGTAGTGGGGGTGGACTGGGAAGTCAAATCAATTCATTAGTTATTGTGGAATAAGATTATTGAATAATTTCATTCATATTTTTCTATGTCATGTACATGGCTTTATATATACATAAAAGATTGTGGAATAGAATCACCTAAATCTTTACATTAAGAGAAAGAATCAGAGATATGATATTCTAGATTACCACAATTATACTAAGATCTTAGAGGATCATATCTTGATATGAAGAATATCTTCTCATCTTAGAGGATCACATCTTTGATGACAAGAATATCTTCTTGGAAATCCTCCATCAGCCAACACTCCCCCTCAAGCGGGTGAATGGATATCTTCCATTCCTAGCTTGCTTATTAGATCTTGAAACATATTGTTTGGCAGTCCTTTTGTTAAAACATCAGCAACCTGATCTTTTGTAGATACAAATGGCGTACAAATGAGTCCGTTATCTAATTTCTCCTTAATGAAATGTCTGTCTACCTCAATATGCTTAGTGCGATCATGTTGTACAGGATTATGAGCTATACTTATTGCTGATTTATTGTCACAATATAGCCTCATAGGTCCTTCCCATCTTATCTTCAAATCATCAAGGATTATCTTTAGCCATAACAACTCACAAACTCCCATCGCCATGGATCTAAACTCAGATTCTGCACTTGATCTAGCTACTACATTTTGTTTTTTACTCCTCCAAGTCACCAGATTTCCTCCTAAGAAGGTGCAATATCCAGAACTTGACCTTCGATCCACTAATGAACCAGCATAGTCCGCATCTGTATAAGCCTCTAAAACCATGTTTCCTCCTCTTTTGAATAATATTCCTTTTCCTGGACTTCCTTTAAGATATTGTAGAATCCGGTTGACAGCTTGAAGATGCATTTCTCTAGGATCATGCATAAATTGGCTAACAACACTTACAGCAAATGCAATGTCCGGCCTTGTATGGGACAAGTAAATCAATTTCCCTACAAGCCTTTGATACAAGCCTTTATCTACCACTGAATCTTCTGGAGCATTGCACAATCTATGATTGTATTCAATTGGTGTAGCCACTGGTTTACACCCTAATTTTCCTGTTTCTTTCAACAAATCAAGCACATATTTTTGTTGGGAAATAAAGATTCCCTGTTTTGAGTGTGCCACTTCGATTCCCAAAAAATACTTTAATTTCCCAAGCTCTTTGATGTCAAATTCCTT